TGAATAAGGTAGAAGAAAAACAAAGCCAACAAATATAATTTAAAATATTTCTAATAAAATCCTATTGGATTGATAAACTTGTAGAATGTATAATACATAAATAACTAACATATATATATGATACATATTACGTATGAGAATAGAGAGAGAGAGAGAGAGAAAGGGAGAATATTATAGTCATCTTAAAGATAATCATCTTAAAGATAATCATCTTTACCGATAAAGATGGCTGGGAAGAAAGTAAGAAAAAAAGTTTTCGACCATATAAAAAAAAAAAATTAATAAATGAATGAATGTCAAGTAAACAATTAAAATTTTTTAATAGAACCAATCTAGGTATAATATATTAACAATATATAATAAGTTTTTTTACATGCAACGCTATTTATGTATTAATTAATTAATTGAAATCTGTGCACGCCGACTTCATTGAGTATAGTGTCGCGTAATAAACCGCGCCTCCGGCATTCATGCCGCCCTTGATCAACTCGACCCCGCACACTATTATACTACTCCTGGATTAACCCTTTTAGGGGCACATTTTTCTGCTACACTTATTCTAGACATGAAAGTGTATATAAGGGTTTTCGGGGTCGCTGATTATGAATCCGAAGTCTGATTTTCAAAAATTTAAAATTATCATTATTATTATTATTATTTATTTCCCTGATTTCGGGTAAAGATCCACTACAGATAGTTGAGAGAGTAGCTCAACATTTACAAAAGGTAATGTATAACATCGTGATTTGGAGCAATTAGCTGGTAGTGTACAGATAAAAGGAAATATATAATGTACAAGATTTCACAAAGAATAGAACGATTAAAATAAAACTCGTCGTATTATAACAGATAGGATAATGTCTAAATTAGGATTAGAAACGGTTGCGTTAAACATGGGAAAAATTTAAGTCCTTTAAGTCAGATATACTGAAATCTCTTATTCTTAAAATACTAGACAAAAAGTAGTAAAACAATGAGACAGATTTAGAATCAGCAACATTCAATATTTCAATTAAACTCGAATCTTTAAAATATTTGTCGCGTAGGCTGTAATATATTGGACACTTGGCAAGAAGGTGAGAAAGCGTTTTTTTCGCGTTAAGGTTACAAAATAAGCAGATTTCATTACAGTCGATTTTGTGGAACAAGCCCTTACAGTAGAAGTTCAAACTAAAGTTACCAGATAGTCTGGCCGCGGCCAGTATCCTCTTGCACACCAGGGGTAGAGCAAGCGTAAGGTATCGTTCGCAGTAAGGCGACTGTAAGTTAGTTAAGTTTTTGTAGTTGGGACTAAACGAGGAGTGCGCGGCTCGATTGACATCGCTATTGAAGCAAAGCCTCCTCAGTCTGCCGTCAATGGTCGGAACAGCAAGAAGAATTGAATTGACATCCTCACTGTCCAGTAAATAGCCATGTCCGGATCTATCCAATGCCGACCGGAGTTGCGAGAACCAATTAAGTTTTGAGCTATTCGATACGGAATTATCGTTCCTTTTCAGCTTATCGTACATGCGTCTGGGGTACCTGGCAGGTTCATGAGAAAGAATTTTCACCCAGTATTGTAGCGCTCTCATTAATACCTTTACTTCAAGAGAAAAAGATCCAGTTTCAATACGTGCCATATAACCAGGCGTGAAACGAGGTAGGTTTAAAAGGCGTTTTAAAAACAAAGTGTGAATTTGCTCAAGTTCCTCCGTATGACTGAGAGCCCAAATTTCCGAGGCGTAGAGTGCAGTTGATGACACCATTGAATCGAAGAGAACCGTAGCCGTTGCGTGAGAAGAATTGTTACCAAAGCATAGAATCTTCCAGACGGCCCCAAGGGCTGATTTTCCTTTACTGAGGGCGTTATTCAAGGCCGGCTTAAACGAACCAGTTGACGAGAACACGATTCCTACATAAGTGTACGATTTGACTAGTTTTAGAGGTACGTCCTCGAACTTGATGGATTTTTCTTTTTTGGTTCGTCCGCCGTTACTGCATTTCAGTACTACAGTTTTATCAATGTGGACTTTTAAACCTTTGGGTCTGCAGTATTTAGCTAAAACATCAAGCTTCCCTTGGAGATTAACTATATTATCAGCTAGTATGGTGAGATCGTCGGCGAATAGTAAAATGTCAATCTCCTCTTCAATCCTTGTGTATCCTTCCTTTTTGAAGAAATCAATTATGTCGAAGAGAAAAATAATAAACAGAAGAGGACTTAGTGAATCGCCTTGCAGAACCCCCTGCGTGATATCTATCTTTTCGGTTTTGCAATTACCTGCCAGGTTGACCTTTATATTAGCTTTAAGGTACAGGTTTTGTAATACTTTGATAATCTTAGCGCTGACGCCAGCTTCGTAGAGGACTTGCCATAAAATTTGGTAACTGGCAGAGTCAAAAGCTCTCCTAAAGTCGATAAAAGCTATGTATAGCTTTCCCTTGGGTTTACTTAGTGCGATCGTGATTCTGGACTGAAGTGTGAAGATGTTATCGTCGCACGATCTATTTTTCCGAAAGCCAGATTGACATTCCGGCAGAATATTGTTCGATTCACACCAGTTGGAAAGCCTCTTTGAAAGTAGCGACGTAAACAATTTTGTTATGGAGTTCATTAAAGCAATGCCTCTATAATTAGCTGGGTCGTTGGGGTTCCCTTTCTTATACAGGAGTGAGACATCGGAATTGGACCAACTGTCGGGTACTATACCCGAATCGAAAATTTTATTGAATAAGCTTGTTAGGTTTAGAGTCCACTCCCTGGGTAAATTCTTGAGAAAAGAATTCGCGATTCCGTCCGGTCCTGGGGCTTTGTTCTGCTTTAAGTTCCTACAGGCGTCTAAAAGTTCCCTATGGGTGAAGTCCGCGTCCAAGTACGGGTGCCTACAATCAAAGTATGTCGATTCGTCGAGAGATCTAGGAGGAAATGTGTTGTTGTAGAAGTCTTCAATAATTGGGCCTGGGATTTTGCAGTAAAGATTTTTGCGAGCGTTGAGCTTTTTTACTGTAGTCCAAAAAGCCTGCGGGATTCTTGCGTTCGAGAGCATGCGTTGTTGATTTAACTTGTAGTCCTTCCATTTCTTCTTATACAAAGCGATGTAATTCTTCTTGGCTTCGATGTATTTTTCGTGCAGCTCGGTCCTCTTGGAGGTGACCCATCGCTTATAGATCTTTTTACAGGCCGTGTTGGCCACTCGACAATCTTTGTCATACCAAGGCTTGTCGTTGAACCTGGCCAACCGCAACGCGGGAGGTTTTACCTGTTTCTCCAAACCCAGTGTACTCGCGACCGATTTTATACTGTTGATAATTAGGTCGTTAACTTCGTTGGTATCTTGGGAGTCCGAGAGTTGTATTTCCTTCATCTTGTCTTGGTAGTCATCATACTTCTCAGCGTTCCAAATTATTTTAGAGACTGGACTAGGTTTTTGACAGGGCGTTGGAGAATCACAAGAGATGTCATATTTTGTGTGAACTGCAACTGGGAGGTGATCTGAATAATGCACGTTGACAGTAAAGAAGTCGGACAATGAGTGAAGGCCTACAAAGTTAGTCCAAACCAGGTCTATTATACTGGAACCATTATTATTCGAGAAAGTGACTTCGCCGCTCGCATCAGACGAACTCCTACCATTAAGGACGGTGAGGCCCAAGTTTTCCATATCTTTACATAGCAGGCGTCCTTGTCCGGTTATCACGGAGTCAGAGGAATTGCGGATCCAACTAAAGCTCGTTCCATCGATAATGTCGATCGCTTGGTTGAGATCGCCAATGCGGGAGTTAAAGTCACCTCCCACTAGAATCAAGTTGTCGTTTGATTGGGAGACCAAATTTAAAAAAAAAGAGAGATGTAATATCATATTTTGCAGCTCAATTTCAAAATTGGACAACTCAGTCGGCCCAAGATAGACGTTGACAATGTGATAGCTTAAACCACTGATGGTACACTTCAGAGCCATGTATGAACTAGTACTTCTAATCAATGAGACAGACCGAACAAACTTCTTGTTGGTGAAAATAGCTAAACCTCCGCTTGCTCTACCCTGGTGTGCAGTTTTGGATGCTGGTTGATCGAATACATCGAAATTATCAAGAAAGAGGGGTACTCTGTTTACTTTGTTTACAAGCCAGGTTTATTCCAAAAAATGATTGACGCAAAGCATGGTGCTGCGGGACCGTCGGTAAGGCCATTTTAAATTTTCAAAAGTTCACAGAATTCAATTATTTCAGATAGTATTGCCTGCATATGTGTTTTCGAGGTCGCTGATTACGAATCCGGTCTCAGATTTTGAAAATTTAAAATGGCGGATCCAATATGGCAGCCTGATTGTAAGGAAAATTTACAAAATTCTGTTATTTTAGCTGTTATCACTTGTTTTTGAGGTCGCTGATGATGAAACGAGTCTTGGCTGTAGAAAACTCAAAACTGTGGTTCAAATATGGTGGTAAAGTTTTCATAAAATGATGTACTTATTATTATGTATTTCTTTTCGGCTAGATATTTGATTGCATCCGAATTATCCCAATAGGATGGATAAAATTTTTTTTATGACGATTTTTAGTATACTAGAAAAAGAATATCTGAGAAAGAAAAAACAAGCTTTCATGTATGTGAAATTTTGTCCGTGTTAGAAATCACGTTTGAGTGGCGGGCTAACGGTCATAATAGTGTGATCTTAGTTTTTACTTTGTGATATATTCCTATTTTATTAGTTGAATAAAAGAGGCAAGTAATTTCAATAAATAAAGAAATTTTGGCCGTGTTAGAGATCACGTTTGAGTGGCAGGCTAACGGTCAAAATAGTGTGATCATAGTTTTCACTTTGTGATATATTCCTATTTTATTAATTGAATAAAAGAGGCAAGTAGTTTCGATAAATCAAGAAATTTTGGCCGTGTTAGAGATTACGTTTGAGTGGCAGGCTAAAGGTCAAAATAGTGTGTTCCTAGTTAACTTTGTATTGGATTTTCTTATTGATTAGTTAAATAAAAAAAAAACAAATAATTTTGAATAAAAAATGAGTGATTCTGAAGAAGTATATGAAGGAGATCAAATCCCATCAGACGATGAATCTGTCGATGGAAATGGCATAAGCGATGAAGAAGGTTATGACCTGAATGTAGACTCTGGAAAACATTATGAGAATGATTCTCGTAGGTTCAAAAAGAGTAAAATTTCATCAGATGAAACTTGGTCAAACCAATCTTTACCTTTCGATAACTTACCTTTTACAAAGAACGTTGGGCCAAAGAATATTCCTGATACTGTCAGAACACCTGGGGATATTTTATTGATGCTCTTATCAGTAGAAAATATCGAAAACATGGTTCAACAAACAAATCTATATTATCTAAAGAATAAAATTAAGAATGACGTTCCCGTGACTGCAGATGAGATAAAGAAATTTATTGGAGTGAACATAATGATCGGTGTCAAACATTTACTATCTTATCGTGATTCTTGGCCTTCAAATCCTCAGTTGAATGATGCTTATATAAGCTCGTCAATGCCGGTTAAAAGATTCTCTTTTCTGCTTAGTAATTTACATTTGAATGATCAAACTAAAGAACCTAAAAAAGGAGAAGTTAATTTCGACAAATTATACAAAATAAGGCCATTTATTGACAGAATTTCTGAAACTTATATGCAATATTATGATCCAACAAGAGAGCAATCTATAGATGAGAGCATGGTAAAGTTCAAAAGCAGAAATACTATGAAACAATACATGCCTCAGAAACCCATAAAACAAGGATATAAGATATGGGTAAGATCAGATATGAATGGCTACGTATGTGAATTTCAAATTTACACGGGAAAAATTAATAATGTTACTAAGAAAAATTTAGGAGAAAGAGTTATCATGAGTTTATCCCAAACTCTGAAAAATAAAAATTACCATATCTATTTTGACAATTACTTTACAAGTACTAATTTGATGATAACATTATTGAAAGATGGAATTTCTGCCTGTGGGACAATTCGAAAGGACGATCTTCCTAAAAATCAAGGAAAAGATAAAGACATGAAGATGGGTGATAACCAATACCGTCCGTCAAATGAGGGCATCAGATATTTGAAATGGCTAGACAAAAAACCAGTTCATTTTTTATCAAATTTTCATGATCCATCTGATTTGTCTGAGGTAGAGAGAAGACAAAAAGATGGTTCATTGAAGACTATAGCTTGCCCTCAAATAGCGAAGGATTATAATGCTCATATGGGATTTGTTGACAAATCAGATCAGATGAAATCATTCTATGAAATCACAAGAAAAAGTAGAAAATGATGGTACCGCTTACTATGGCACTTCATAGATGTCACTCTTATCAACTCTTTTATGATTTTCAAATTACTCAATCTTGATAAGAATTTGAAATTGAAAGAGTTTCGTTTATTAGTTTTAGATGATTTGATAGGACTAAATTGTCTAAAGAAGCGAGGAAGACCATGTTCAAATAATCCCAAAACTCCTGCTTCAAAAAAAATCAAAACATCTGAAAGTATCAGGACGTCAGTACAGAAACATTTGCCTGGTGTTTATGAAGGACTCTACAAAAATTATGAGTTATGTAGTACTAAAAACAATCGAGTTCGATCCCAATTCTACTGCACAACATGCAATGTGACTTTATGTAACAATGCGAAGAAAAATTGCGTTGCTGAATATCATAAATAAAAAATTACTGCAGCATGGTACTGAATATCAAATTCATATTGAGCAAAGCTACAATTAGATTCTGTTGGTAGAATTTTCCAAATATTTATTGACTACTTTAGATTGATAATCTTTATTTTAAAAATTCGGGACTACACCATTGATCAGTTACTCTACATTACAAAACTAAAAAATAATTACCAACATATGTAACTAGTAGAAAATTTTCTAGAATGCTGAAATCAGAATTAGCGACTCCTTAGACTCTCATATAAAAAAAATTATTTTCTAATTTCAAACGTTTCACCAGCCATATTGCATCTGCCATTTTCAATTTTGAAAATAGAAGTTCAGATTCGTAATCAACGACTCCAAAAACCAAAGTATACAAATTTTAATTTATATAAGCTAATGTTTGAAAATTATGTACGCCATATTGGATCTGCCATTTTGAATTTTTGAAAATCAGACTTCAGATTCATAATCAGCGACCCCGAAAACCCTTATATACACTTTCATGTCTAGGATAAGTGCAGCAGAAAAATATACCCCTGAAAGGGTTAATCCAGTATTATAGTGTGCGGGGTCGAGTTGATATGCATCTATACAAGTTCTACGAAAATTCTTAAAAATATCGGCCAAGAGTAATACGTTAATTTTTAAGTATAGATCAGAATACTGTCCTAAATCGATGATGTCAAAAGCATTCCACACTTTTTGTAATGCTCATAGTCAACTTCAAAGATGTTATTATCTATAAATTGACTATGAAAATCTTCAATAGGTGGTAGTTCAGTCTGTTTTAATCTTTTAAAACTATTAACATACTCATGTGGAAAAACGCCTTTTCTCTTCAATAATTCTATTTGTGTTTTTGTATATTTATCTTTGTTGAATTCATGCTCTACGATATTCAGTTTGGTCCAGTATGAAGCCAGTTTTTCGAGAGATGATGGCATAAAACGAACCGAATCAATAAATCGAAAATTAATGGTACTACCGTCCACGTGTTTTGTGAAAGTTATATATCTTTCCTTATTTTCAGCTAGAACAGTCACATTTTCCTCAAGATCAAAGCTAGTAGTTATTTCTTTTATAATAAAATGAGAATCATAGCCTGTAAGGTTATGCAAGATGACTAGTATAAAATAAGGATTCTTATAATTTAAATTACAGGCTGCGTGTGTAAAATAATTTTGTATTTCTAATAAACAATTAGCTTTACAGCCCATGAAAGAGGAGAAAACGTAATTTTTGATGAAAAAAAAACGTGACTTTCCAGTTTTTGAAAATTTTAATGATATTTTATGTTCAAAGTAGTAACTTTCTATTTTCTAAAATGAAAGATGAAGACTGCGAAAAAAATGACATCCAGATGAACTGTGCAGTGTGAAAAAAGAGTTGTCTTCTTTTTTCAAAATTCTAAAAAAATACGAGAAAGACAAATCTTCAAATTACTTTTTATTCGTTTTCTAGCAAAAATTAACCCTGTTTTTGTATTTTGTAAAAAATATTGTTTTCTTAGACGAAGCTACATGTCAATTAAATGGCGAAGTCAATCGCCATAACCTTAGATATTGGTACGAGAAAATCCTCATTGGATGAGAGAAAGTCACACTCAATATCCTCAAAAATTAAACGTGTGATCATAAATGGTAGACGATACAATAATAGGTCTCATTTTTATCACAGGAAATTTGAACGCTGTAACTTTTGTGAAATCAGATTGTTTCAGCTATCCAGGCGTTAAGATGTGATGATTTTGAAAACACATGGTTTCAAGGAGGATTAGGGGTCACGCTAACTCGAGTCGTTCCCACCCGTAAAATTTATCGCTGTTTTTGATTCCAGTATAAAAAATAGGGGTTCCCATATGAAAAAATAAGGTTGACCTTGAAATACCTTGAAAATGAGGTTCAAGGTCAAATCATAGGTTACCGTTGGGTTCCTTGTTGAAAGTTACATAGGGTATGACCTTTGTTTCATGACTAACCTCATGCGGATTTCCGAATTTTCCGGGATTTCCATACTTTTTCCTCACCCTGTATATCTCTTATAGATTAGCGGTATCCTTTGTGTCCCAGAACATACATTGCTTATCTACTTTCTTGTTTAGTCTGTCTCGCTCACTCTCGTTCAGTCTGTATTGGCGCCTCGAAATGGCCGGCTTCGCTCTCGCGTGTGAATCTCGTACTTCGCTGCTGGTCTCTGAAGCGCCTTCTGGAGCGCCTCCTGGAGCGCTCCCCTTTAGTCGTGCGTCGCGTGTGTACATCTGGATGTTCGCCAGTGTGTATTCAGCAGTGTGTGTGGCGCTCAGAGTCGTCGATGCTGCGTAGCAGCCTGGCACAGCTGATTGTCGGCTGCCGCTTCATCTACGATTTCCTGGTCGCCCCAGGTATGGCAGCTTTCCCAGAGTGTCTGTGATCGTATCCGGATGTGTAATGTCCCCGTAGATTTCGCTCGCATGCATTTTTGTTGCATTTTCCGTCGGGTTTTCCATGTGCTTTTCTTCAGCCGGCAACACGGGGTCAAGAGTATGTGTGTGCGTACGCTCTCTTTTTTTTGGTCATGCGCTCCATTTTTCTCTTATCCATCGGATCGAGCTGTTTTACTTGTTGCATCGTTTTTCCGGGCGTGAGTAGGCGAATTTGAAAATAAAGTAGGGTTTATATTAAGCGCGAGAAGGGCAATTTTATTCAGCAGGTTATGGGGCGACAAGGGACGGGGATGGCTTCTCTGAGGTATTGCAAGTAGTGCAACACTCTTAGACAAAGCCTTGTAATGCACCGCATTGCAATTGTGTAGCTAATACTACTTTAAATTTAGTTAACTTAAATTTTAGAATAATTTTAAGAATATCGTAATCATTACTTTTTGCCTTTCTTCGTATATTGTTGATTAAATAATCATAAAGCCCGCAAGATTTTTCATGAATATCTTAAACAAGATATATGAATACAATAATTCAAAATATCGGATATTCGGTAATTTTAGCACTAGAATAATTTTATATTTATGTAGCTGCATTTTAATACTATTTGCTTATGATTTACTGGTAGCTGAGTGGTTTATAAAAATTAATTTTCTACTATTACAAATCCTTTTGAGGACTATTACTTTATTTCGATTTACGATGTTTCAGAAATAGAACGTAATTGATTTTCTTTATTAAGCTAAGAACACAGATTTTCATTACTTCTTATTAGATTATCGATGTAAAATAAGTGCAGTTTGATTTATTTACCATGAAAATGTTTAACATTACAATACAAATCTTAGACAGTCTGACAACAGAATATAGTTAAAGTGAAATAATGTTTGTATCTACTATTGCGTAAAGTTTATCTTCTAAAAGTTGCAACTGTTACATCCTAAGCTAATCAAGACAGTGGATACTGTAGTGTTACTGAGTAATCACTTGTATCGGAAAGTTTATTTCAAGCTTTCTTATAAAAATAGCTAGTTGTACAACTTATTGATCATCGCAGTCTTAAAGAGGATTGAGTTACAAGTACACATATGAGTGAATCTTCAGAACCTTTGATTTTCGAGGATCTGGGTACAAAAACTATTAACTAAAACCTTTTGTATATATGTAACAACGGATTCATAATAAATGAAGGATACAAAACAGGGTCCTACATAGTTTTTTCAATTATACTCGATAGCCGACCCGTAAAATATTCGTAAAGTTCGATTTTTTAAATAATGTATAAGAGAAGTAGTGGTGATGTCTAATTTATTAACTTCATTAAATGGATAAGTCTTCACGAATCAACACGAAAATTTTTTTTAGGATCTCATTGACATCTACTTTAAGGCTGTATATGTTAGAATAGCGTGCCTTTCACAAATAACGAAATAAAAATGAAAATTCATAAGGAACTACTTTTTCATAAAATTTGATAATTGCAACAATTTATAATTTTGCCGAAATAAGTTTTGAGAAAAGGTATTGCAACTAATATTACTCTGTTGTGTTTGAATAACGGAACTCAATTACGTTTGGCGCTAAGGTGTGTTATGTCGCGACTCCGTAGCCGTGACATGTATTTGTTTAATATGAGTAAAATTTATTTTATCACGGTATGATTATGATATAATATGTATAATGGCAGGACTTACCTGGGATATATATATATTGTTGAAGATATTGATAAATTATTATCTTACTCCTTGTTCCTTTATATTATTTTCTTCTTAAATTGGTTTCTTTATTATTGAGAATATTTCGTATGGAAATTATAGAAATGAACTTGATACACTTTATTTAATAATTGGATTTCACTCAATGAGTGGCAGAGTCAACTGGTACAGTAGAATTGTCGCGAGTCGCGAATCAACTAACTAAAAAATTGAGACGCTGTTTTATATATTGGCTTACTGACTTACATTTAGTTGTCGAGTAATCAAGTTGATGTTTCAATTTCTCAATTGAGTTTTCTGCTGAATTTGATTTATTAATTTTTGCGTTTCGTAAAAAAAAAGAAGGTGAAATACATTTTGTGCTTATTTTGCTACTTTCAATTCGCATGATTGCCGTTGATCTCAAAATGATTTAATTTTACGTCTCAGGACGTAACAGGTGTGCCACCTTCCATTCAAAAGTTACGCTAATCCAAAGTTTCCTT